TATGGCTCAAAGTGAACTAGAAGAGGTAAGTTGTTCTAACGATTCTTTTAGTTTTGAAGAACTACAAGAAGCATTTGGTGATTTATTTAAAGAATTTAAGAAAGTCTCATCTATTGCCAAAGATTTGGAATATAAAATCACCCTTTTGCAAAAGAAAAATAATATTTTGCAAAAAGAAATTGATTCCCTCAAAATTGAACATAAGACTTTTGAGGAGACTAATTTGAAATTAAATGATTCACCTTGTTCTTCATGTAAGTCTTCTAGTCTTGAGATAGAAACGCTTAAGACTTTTGAGTATGTAAGAATTGAATATTCTTTAACCAATGCATTCATTCCAACATGTTCGTTCTAGACGGATGTTCTAGGTTTCCATCATATGCATACCGCTGTAGGGAGGACTTCAAGCGCCTACTACAGTGGGCCCGTCCAGGAACCTTTGGGGACCAGCGGGTTTTTCATCATGTTGGGCTTGTGTACGTACATAGTAGTCAGGTTATGGCTACTACCCGGTTTTGCTAGTCCACTCGCGATGTTTTCATCGTGCCCGGCTCGTTACCGTTCGGGGACGATGGCTGGAGTGCAGGGGTGATCCTGTCGAGTGAGACTAAGTCAGGGGTGTCCCTGATAGTTTAAGTCATGCATCAAGTCATATCATCATCATGTATATTCCTTGTTATTCGAAACAGCTTTAACAGGTGAAAACTAAACAGTTAGTAACGTGTGGTGTCCCGTACATTAAGTACAAGTATTGATATGGGTATAGCCATATGGGTTATCACTTCATGTTCTTTTGTTAGATTCACTCCTCAGCTTTTGCTGAGCGTGTAGTTGTTTTTGCTGCACGCAGGTAGTCATGACGGAGCAGGTGCCAACCCTGGAGAGCGGTGACGATGGGGAGATGGGTGGCGCACGGACGAACTCTTAATTACTTTCAATAACTTCATTAATCAATTGGGCGTGAACCCACCCTTGTCGTTATTTAGTTTGGACTGAACTTATTTAATTACTTCCGCAAGTACTCTGCACTTTCATTACACACGTTTTGGGAGTAACTCCCTGGCATTTATTCCTCTAATTAAAACCGAACCGTTTTCTTATTAAATAATCACTGATGTTTTCGTAACGGATGGTTCTCGGACTGTCCATGTAACCCTACCGGTCCGTTGGGTCACGGGTGAACCGGGTCCACGGAAGGAGGGTGTTACAATTTGGTATCAGAGTGGTTCGGTTTTTGAAAAAAAAACACAACTTGTCGTCAAAAGTCCACAGCCGCATCTCCCATCGCATCACTCCCAGGGAAAGGTACACCGTTATTTAGATCACATGTATGTCATATTATAACTAGTTCTGATTTAAGTTATTCCTTTAGAGAATGAGTCAAGCAGCTGGCAATGACGGACAGGCGGTCCCAGAGGGGGAGTCTGAGCACGTGAGCGTGCACACTGAAGCATCGAGCTTCACACCTCAGCAGGCCTCCGAGCAGGCGGTCCCGGGCGTGGGCCCTATACCGGAAGCCATCCCTATTGTCCAGCCGCAGTTCGCGACTAACTTCATGAACTTCCTCCAGCAGATGGCTGGAGCTTACGTGCCACCACCGCCGCCACCAGTGGCGGTGGTCACTATCGAGAAACTCCGGAAGAATGGAGCTGAGGAATTCTTGGGCGATCAGATCGCCGACCCCATGATTGCCAAACGGTGGTTTGAGCGAACCATCCGAGTGTTGGGGAACCTGAGGGTTCCACAGGAGCAGCGTGGCGACCTCGCAGTCGCATTACTTCAGGATTCCGCCTACGACTGGTGGAAACGTGTGGGAGCAGGCGTCCCGGAGCCCGTGCAGTGGGCCACATTTGACCGACTCTTCCACGAAGAGTACATCCCTGAGCACTTCGTCGAGGCGAAGCGGGAGGAGTTTTTGAAGTTCACCCAGGGTGAACTCACACTGCCTGAGTATCGTCAGAAGTTTGACGAGCTCGCGGGGTTTGGGCTAGACCTCGTACCGACCGTGGAGAAGCGATGCAAACGCTTCGTGGAGGGTTTACGTCCCGACCTTTCGACCCATCTGATCATTGCTCCCCGGAGTGACATCAATGCGTTGTACAAGAATGCGTTGGATTTGAACGCGGCCCTCATCAAGAAGGCTGAGTATGAGCAGACGCTAGGAGTGTCATCGGCACCATCTCGTCCTCCTCCACCCCAGAAGGCGGGGACCAGCAGCAAGAGGTCCTTTACAGCGCCGAGCAGCTCTCACCAGAGTAAGAAGGTGAAGTCAGCCCCAGCTCAGTCATCTGCGTCCGTACAGAAGAAGGGCAAGAGCGGGGATGGGTTTCGCAACCCGATTTGCAACCTTTGTGGGCGCAGGCACCCAGGAGAGTGTTGGTACACTCTTGGCCTATGCCTTGGGTGTGGCCAGGCTGGGCATTTCCGAAAAGATTGTCCGAAGAATCCGGGTGAGGCATTCTCGACCGCACCAGCCGCTCCAGCCCCGGCAGCGCAGCCCGCCCAGAGTCAGAAGTCGGCGGCAGCATCTAGCTAGCCCAAACGGCAGGCATCTGGCGCTCAGGCGGGGAAGGCCCGTACTTACGCAATGCGAGGGCGTACCGAGCAGCCCGCCCATGACGTCATCATGGGTATGTTCACCTTATTCGATACATCTGTTACAGCTTTGATTGATCCGGGTTCCACTTTATCATATGTTTGTATGCCTATGCCTGTTATGCCTAACATTCCGAGGAAAAATTTAGACAATCTGGTATTAGTGTCCAACCCATTGGGACACAGCCTACAACTCACCCATGTGTATCATGATTGCCCATTAGTGGTCCAGGGAAAGATTTTCCCTGCGAGTCTCATTGAGCTTCCACATCGTGAGTTTGACGTTATTCTGGGCATGGATTGGCTCACCGCCAACTAAGCTGTTATTGACTATGGAGTTCATACTGTTCGACTGAGAGCCGAAGACGGTAGTGACGTACTGATCCATGGTGAGCTTCTTCCGAAAGCTCCAGAATTCATTTCCTACATTCATGCTCGTCGACTCATTCGCAAGAAGTGTGAAGCATTCTTGTGCACAGTGCGTGACACATGTCAGGAGGCGCCTGGTAGGGGGGACATCCCTACGGTATGTGACTTTCCTGATGTGTTTCCGGATGACTTACCTGGTCTGCCACCCCCTAGGGAGGTAGAGTTTTCCATTGATCTTGTTCCAGGAACAGGGCCGATCTCGATCACACCTTATCGCATGGCGCCTGCAGAGATGAAGGAGCTGAAGGCTCAACTGCAGGAGTTGCTGGATAAGGGCTTCATCCGGCCTAGTGTGTCTCCTTGGGGAGCACCGGTTCTGTTCGTCCGCAAGAAGGACGGATCGATGCGGTTGTGCATTGATTACCGTCAGTTAAACAAAGTTACCATCAAGAATC